AATGTATATTACTATTTATATTATTATTAATAATTAATATAATATGATATTAATAATATAATAATATAACAATCTAATATTATAAATATATAGAATATATATATATATATATATATATATATATATATATTTATTAGATTATATATTATATTATTATTATATTATTATATTATTAATATTATAATACATATATTATTACTATATCTATATATTGTATATTATACGTATAATATATGCAATATACAATTTATGGCAAGATTTCACCGTCGTACTAGAATCAATTCCAACAATTCGTACAACAAAGCGAGGAAACTAAACGGGGCCAAATTGTCTGTAATAACGATAGGTATGCCGTTGAATTGTATCGGAGACAAGCCGAGCCGGTGTCCGATGTCGGCTAGGAGTCTTGCATAGTTTTCCTACCCCGATGACTGTGAGGGAGCACAGCCAGTGGCCCACAGATTGCCAAACGCTTCAAATTTTATTTTTGGAGCGCCACCTGCGGCGGGCCTGCGCCGGGGGAATGTGTGTTCCACGCGTACGTGAGCATCGTTCTGGCACGTGCGAGCTTTCCGTGAACTTATTAAACGACCGCGGACTCGTTTATCCGATCCATCCTCCCAAACATCATCCGTTTCACCCCTCTATTAACCCCCTTCGCCGTACCTTGACGAGTATGACGCGTCGCGAAAATTTTTAGCAATAATTTGCAAATATTCTGCAGTTTAAAAAATTTTTATAAAATTCTAATCTGTTGTTGTTCTATTGTTTAAACATTCGAGTTAATATAGGTACGCGGTAAGCGTTAAATTTTCTTCCCCTTCTAAGAAATTGTTGCGATCGAAAAATTGATAATCTGTCCCAANTATAATAATAATTATCATAATAATATTTAGTATAATAATTATTACAATAATATAATATTATAATATTATTATAAAATTATTGTATTATATATTAAAATAATAAATATTATATAATATTATAATATTATATTATTGTAATAATTATTATACTAAATATTATTATGATAATTATTATTATAATTGTTATACTATATATTATTATAATGCGATAATAATCCCAAATATATTTACCAGTAATATAAAATGAAAAAGTAAGTCTTAAATATATAATTTTAGTTGTTATATGTTTTT